GGTGCCCACAGTAGTTTCTCAAATTCCCAAAGTTTCTCAAATTCATTGCCAAATGTCCTGAATCTCTCATTTGGGTGGTTTTACTAGGGTGGCCACTTACAGTTGTCAAAAAACAAATTCATCAGAAAAGAGGACAAAAGAGCCTAGCACTTAGCATATCATTTGCACCCTCTTTGTAAACTATTTGTCTGTACCTCCCATCGTAATGAGGAAGACTAGCAAGATGACCTGTGAACCTGCACCATTTGATCTGTATATCTTTGTGGCTGATGGGCAACCCCAAGGTCCCTGGCTGTCCTTTGTTGTGATTCTTTGACTTTAAACCCTACTTGCATCAGACAGCCTAACAATAAGATGACATCTTTAAACATAGGACTGCCCACTTAGAGCTCTTCAGCTCTTCAAACAGATGATTACTGTTATCAGGCTACCACATGCTATCCAATGCTATCAAATGTGAGGCAGAATCCCTATACAGACACCATTTCTGTGTTTCTTTACTGAACCAAGCTAGCAAAGGCCAGGATTCCCCACTCCCCACACTGCCCCATAGGGGACAATGCTTCTTAGTGCCCCTAGTTCAATAAATTGCCTTTCTGTGTGAATCAGTGCTTGAAGGCATTCTGCTGAATGAGTCCCTGAGAGGAGTTTCCTTGACTTTTTGGTTAACAGGACTCAGGTAAAGAAACAATGTGAATATTTCTCTGTGACTAACAGCAGCACCTTTCCAGAACAAGCTCTCTAGGGACGGACGCGTGTTAGCAACCTGCTTTCTGCTTTGTTTCTTGTCTCTTTTTTACAACTGCTACCATGAACTCTCAGTCCACCTGAATCTGGAGTGAATGTGTTCTTCCAATGTATGGTGCAGAAACTTGGAAACATGGGAAACTGACCAATAACTAAGCTCCCAAGTCAGGTTGCCAGTTAACCTCCCTTCCCTACTTCCTGTAGCTTAAAGTGGCCAGTTTCTGGGGGATTTGGGCACATCCCTTTCCACTGAATCCCACATATATTCCCCACTGAAATTGCCATCAACACATTTCTCTCTGTACGCCTTGTTTTGCAGAAGAATTGTGAGGGGTGGCTGCTCCTGACACATATTGGGAAGTCCAGAAATGCTTGCAAAATTGACTGTGAGAGGTGCATGTGTGTTGCCCTCCCCTGCCTTAAAGCCTAGAGTGTAACTCATGCAGTCCAGGTTGATGGGAAGAGGATTTAGTCCAAAACCTCAGGCCCAAATTGGAAGGCATTTTTTTTTCAAAGGAGGCAATAGGGGACAAGGGGAAAGCACAAAGCCACTTTGTTAAAGAAAGAAAACACAAATATTAAGAATCATACTATCTTAGACTGGAACTCTTGAAACAAAATATTAACAAATCCTGGAGTAACCAGTGTCCAGCATCTTTAGATGATTAAGGAGGAGGGCTGACAAGTTAAACAAGAACAAGACTTTCTTAGCACCTTTTGGCCAACAAGATGTGGGTCCAAAGGCCTGAAGTAGATTGCCCTACATACCACACTTGACATATTAATGCATGTGTGTTTCCATGGGCAATGGTAGGGAAGATACATGCCTCAGTCTCTTTGAAAGGAAGGAGGGTATGCCACTTGGGCTGGGGTTATTGTACGTTCACAGTAGGAGACATTGGAATGGCAGATCACAGCTGACTAAGCACAAGGAGCTGACTGAACATGGGACTCCTCATTTGATGCTCCCCAGCATGTGAACCCTACAGTCCGATACAATTTGCTGCCAGAGGCAAAGGCCCCCAATGCACAAGTTTTTCACGTACAGAAACTAACTGGATTACTAGTTAGTGGCAATTACTGATGATGGAACATCTTGAATTGTACATGGGAGCAGCAGAGTACCCAAGGCCACCATTTGTTCCCAAACGCCTTTCTTGGCACCCAGCCTGGTGTCCTACCCTTCCTACTTTTTTAATTAATGCATTTGCTTCATGGCAGCTGCTATTTCTGAGAGATAGGCTTCTGTGGGTGATGAAAAGGGAGTTGCTGGGTTCAAGGGATTTGTTTAATATCTTAGGGCTCAAACTGCATCTCAACAATCTTTGGGGCTATGGTAGTCACCTCAAATTGACAAATGAGCCCTTGGATTACAGGGTGCAGAGTAACTTCGGCAATTCAGGGGGAGTAGTAGAAGGTTGCTATCACTTTGGTATCTCCTGCCTGAGACAGTCATGTCACTCTGTCACTCTCTGGTGGGTGGTGACCACAGAGAAAGCAGTACTGTTTCTGGAATTCCCATCCCTGTGAAGCTTATTTGAAGCCAACTGTACCATCTTTTTGGTCCCAGGTGAAGGCAAGGTTATATGTCAAGGCATTATGGCATGGATAAGTTTAATCCACTCAGTTTCAATACTGAATACTGAATACTGATCCCCTTTCTTTGTAATTTTACGTTGATGTCACTATTTTCTTGGGCATCACCCTTTTAGATTTTAATCTTTTAAATATGCAAATAATTCCTCTGATAGTGTTTAGCTAGTAGATGCCAGTGGATCCAGACGCAGCAGGGCTGTGTTTCCACTCTGGATTTTACTCTCAACTTTTAAGGAACGATCCACAGTACTGAACCAAGTGTGGGGATAGTGTTCAGACCACGGAAAGCTCCTTGAACTTTAGGGTGTGTGATCCAGGGTAGATACACAGCCCCACTGATGTTGGTGCAAACAGCCTGCACAGTGCTTAGCATAGGGCAAATACCCAAGAGAAGACCAATAGGTGAACCTGAAAACCTGTCCAATGTTATACAGCCCCTTTCCTCTGAAAACATTTGTATTTGTTAACCCTCCTTTATCTCTGATTGAATATTATGTTATGCCTGTTCCACCATATTAGATGAAGGTAGGAGAAAATTATATAAATTTTGGATCAGGAAAAAATGTATGTCCTGCTTTTTGAAATTTTATAAATTGGAAGGCAGAGCATCAACTTTCCACAGCAGGACATACATTTTCTTCTTGATGCAATGTATCTTCAATGTCCTGCTTCAGAAAACATGAGTGCTTCTCTATTAATGATGCAATTCTAAGCACGCTTGCTGGGGAGAAAATCCCATCAGTTTACTTAGTCAACACACTTAGGATTGCTCTGGTAGGCTGCAGTCCTGTGTATAGTTACAAGGGTATAACCCTCACAGCACATAGCAGATTATTTATTTTTGATTAACAGTGTATAGGCTCAGGCTGCCTGACAAAGCAATTGTGTAAGTGTGGACAGTAAGTCCCTCTGAGCTAGCATGGCTTATTCCCAGGTTAATGGATGAAAAATTATAGCTCAAGACATTTCTTTTAATCAAAATGAGATATCTATTCCATTTTGTTGCAATATAAAAGCAAGCTTTATGAATGAGTACACCATGGAGAAAGTGCATTGGGTTGAAGCAACTGTTCCAAGTTTCAGTTTAACTGACGCAAATCTAGAATATCTTTCAAGAAAAAAAATCAAGCAAGCAAACAAAACCTAATGGATTGTTATTTTCAGCCTGTGGCATTTGCTCCAGATTAATTTCTAATCACTCCTTTAATAATTTCAGCTATCATGAGGTACCATATAGTTATTATCTATGTTATCTCCATGTATATTACTCACAGTACATCAAAGACTAGATTAAATAACTAGATATCTCTAGAGTCTCATTAGAATATAGAAGCATTGAATTCCACCACAGTTTCAAAAGTCCCTGAATTTAAAAGGATTACTCAGTCCCCAAAGAAGTATGCTAGAAATTAATATTCGTTCAAAGATAGAGAGAAAACCTAACTATGGAATCCCATATGCACTTACCTTGAACTTACTTCTGAGTAGGGAAACATTGAACTACGTGTTGTAAGTCTTATGCACATCTTACTCGATTCCTTAAAGCAGGGAAGGGGAATATGTGCCCTTTAGATATTGTTG